AATGTATATATATCTATATATAAAAATATACACAAGTGAAACATACGTTATGCCCGAGGTACGTTCGCATATGTGGGGAGCTAGCTGTGTCCTTCGACTACAGTCTGTTACTTTTTTCGAGTTCTGGTGCACGTTGCACCGACAGTTAAATCCTCGAACTTTTGCCCAGGACAAGCCGCCTTTCAGTCAGTGGCTGCCTTCGCCGTGTCCGGACGCCATGTTGGCTTACTAACTACACTTGTTGTGTTGCATCTCAGTATTTCACTGTCACTCGTTTATCGTTGACTTCAGGACTACATGTGGGTGACCAAGAAAGAACTGCCGTTGCGCGTGAATAAGGAATACTACAAAGTGGTAGGGCCCATGCTGCGGGATGCGTAAGCCTGAGCGCTTAGGCACTCAATAGACGCAAGGGTACCGAAAGCGAGGTACCTCTGAGCGTACACGCGACAATAAAACATTATGCGGGTCAATGGAGATATACCAGTAATGTGCTCAAGCCTTCAAAGACCGCGACATATCCCTAAACCACCAAATTGGCTGACTAGAGCAGAGACAGTTATAATGGGACCAACTGTTAGATGTCTCGTGCTCACGGATACAAATATGAGTTTTTTTCTCAATTTTTATTTACTTCTCTATTACCTGAACGTGTCGAAGACTTGAAGATACGAAACGCTCAGATTAAAGTTTTATACAAAATAGATGTTTTTGCTACCTATAATGATAAGTAGCAGCAGGGGAGGCATCGGTCATAGCCATGTCCAAAGCCCACAAATCGAGGGCAGGTGCAACCTGTATAGGCTGGGCCCATGCGAACCGCGGTACCGATGCGGGTGATTGTCGCACGTGTGCACTGGCACTGGGCGTTGACGCCGATGACATCAGAGGCGAGGACAGAACCTCAAATGCCAATACCGCGTTTAAATTATGTTGCTGTAACCTGAGCGCGCTGAACTCAGCCTCAAGACGCACAATCTTCAACTTAGCAGCCGCCAGCTCGGCTCTTCGGCACTTGTTTTCCCAAGACAACTGGCGCGCTACTTCATTGAGGTACCCTGAGTAGACCTTTGCTCGTTTTCTATTCTTTTTAGCAGCCTCCTTATTCTGCAAGTCACGTGCTAGTTCGCGATGTCCCCGTCGCGTAGTGACAGCCGTGCGAAGCTCAGGCGGCACTTGCAAGCCACACACAATGGGAGGGCATCTCTGGCAGAAACTGTAGCCGTTGGTCTGTCTATGCGTGGATGAGGGACGGGTTTGAGAGCACATTAAAGGCTTGCAATGGTCTGGTGCACGGTAAGGGTGGCAGCGGTGCCGGGCTGAGTTAGGTTGCGAGTGCAGAATATCCGGGGGCTCTGGTAGTGCGACCGAGAGGGGCGGCAGAATGGCACAGGGCAAAGCAAGAGAAACACTGCCGCCTCCAATCGTCTCGTTGTTGGTCCTGATATTCTCGTGACCCTCGACAATTGTTCTCTGATGCTCCGCTACACCGGCTGTTTCCCCCACAGCACCCGGTTCTTCCGTCTGAACGTGTTCGCGATTTGCCTTCAGTGTCTGTTTGTTGTGAAGCCCAATCAAAAAGAGACTGGCGTTCAGAGGTTCCGGCTGTGCTGTAATTTGGGGACGCATCTTGACCGGTGGTGGAGGTTTGGTCATTGTCCGCCTGGGATTCAATGTCCGCCTGAATCTGCGCGATTTTTTCTGTAAGTTTCTGCGCTTCAGACTGAGATAGTGCTTGAGATTGACGCCGAGATTTGGACGGCGTGTGCGATCCAGAGTTGTTGATTGTTGTTATCCCGTTCGAGCGCTGAGATACGGAACGTGGGCGATGGTTAGTTGCCTGGTATGTGTTGTTATTAGTCGACTGCTGAGTTGTCTGCCGTCCCGATAGATTGGACGTATGTCCCACCTGTTCAAGATTCTCGACGTGGTGTGTTAAGAGACACATCGCCAAAGCCATGGCGGTCTGTATCTCAATATGGAGGTTGTACAAGTACGGAAACATGGTGTACACAAGCATTTTGGGCTCTTTCATAACGAAAGAGCCCGCTTGTGTCCAGGCAAACATGAGCTGATGTTCCTTCTCAATCATTCTCCAATGGTGTAGTTTAGGGATTGATTCGAGGTGTGGTTGGGTTGAATCGCGATGCGGTGTGATTAGGTCTGTTCACTTTCGTAATAACAAGACTGTATGAAAATTAGCTAGTAGAATATTACCGAGCGTTCTTCACTGTACGTTTTTGTATTTAGCACTGTATGTGTGTTTTGTAATTAGCACTGTATGTGTGTATAGCACCCGGCGTTTTTCATTGCATTTTTATATTACCAACGAGTCAAATAGCGTGCATACGGCAAATTGGCAATGCTGGGGTGCTGGGGGGTGAAGCAGCGAGCCAAATGTCTTTTTCGCGTCTTGCAGCGTGAGGCGGCCGCAGGGCGCAGCCGCGCAGGCCCATCAGTCACTATGTACTATTTTTACGGTGAGCCGGTAATAGAGTCAGTGTTTGTCTCTGTGACTTGTGAGAGGCTCGCAACTGTGGTGAAGTGACGTCGTGGCGACATTAAAAATATATAAAAATGTGTTCAAATTCGTACGCAGATCCAATTCTCTGGTATGTGGGCAATTTAATTGGCTACTCTCAACAGAAAGCTTTTTGTGCATTTTTTGGAATGTAAGTTCAATCTGAAAAATAAGTTATGTACTATATCATTTTGCAAACAACAAGGCGGTTATACATAGTCTTCTTCTACGGTCAGGCAGAAGAACACTATCCAAGTAGGAGTGGGCTTTTCTCTACTTAAGATTTATTTAGAGAGGTCTCTTCTTGGGTTCAATATAAAGTCTGTCCGGTTCACCCGCCTCATTGTTATTATAATCAAGTATTGTAGGGTACGCAATGTTCACTAGTAAGTGAGCCTCAAACTGCACTATACAGCGAGTACTAGAACTTGTAGAGAGATCCGTGAACGACGGGTGGGATTGTGCAAGTGGGCGCCCCCAGTAGTGAATTTTCATAGTTCTAATTCAAAATACAATCAAGTACTTTTAGGCTTGGACTTATAAAGTGTCAGTGAAGTTTCAGCGTCAATGCCTGCCCTCTGGATAGAGTCTCTGCTAAATTTACAATTTCCGCTAGAGAAACTTGGTCAATGTTGACCTAATAACACACATTTGACGTTTTTGACTTGCGAAATAGACGCCTTCCGGTGCAGATGCTGCCTCATGTGTTCAATTCTGTGCAGCAGAATGATTTATTGTGATGAAGCTCAAAAAAATGTATATTTTTATGTAGGGTTTTGAGTTTTCGACTTGGCTTTCTCTCCTCTCTGGTAATAAACAAATGCACTGTACTTTCAGCATAGCCTCGCTATTTAGGAGGCTAATTAGTCTATACTTTCCAAGTTTCATCATTTTGAGGCTATTCGTGTTCATAACCACTTTTTGTATACAATGAAACTCCTTGGCCTGCAAGGTGCACAGAGACAGTGTGGGTTCGTTTACAAGATGGCACCAGTATTCACTGCGTGAGCAAGAAAGTATTTTCCATTCTATTAAGCTAGAGAAAAAGCCAAATGAGCTAAGCTAGGCATATATCTGCAATCGAAACTCGTTGACGGCGTTGTTCCGACTAAGTACTTCTTCCCTATTATTTATACTATGCTGAAATATATGTGCCGCTTTCAGTCCCCAGATGTGCTGAGAGTCACTTCACCAATATCCGCAAGTATGAGCGTATTAACTTATTCAAGAAATCGACTCGCATCTATATCGAAGAGAAGTATAGAATGTTATTCGCAAGTTTTTTTTGTGCTGCTGTCGCTGCTGTTGTCGATGGTCAATTTACCTGGAGCATCTGCTGTGCAAGCGCCTATGCCGAATGACACATACAATGCTGTTAGGCAACTTTGGGCTCCTGACTATGCAATACATTTTGATGGTGAGTCAGCTATACATACATAATACATAC